CTGAGACTCAAAGAACATAGGATGTGGATTAGTTCCTAAACGTGTCTCCTCTCCTTATGGCAAAGGTATAGGTATGTGCTGCTGTGTCCTGGTCCTCACTCTAAGGCAGACACTGCCACCCCTGAGAAGTGACAAGCTCGAAAGCTGGGACCACTGGTTTGGTCCAATAAATAATCTCTCATTTTCAACTTCTGATTTTGATTAACCAAATATAAAAAGAAAAAATGTTAAAGGAGAAACACATATCAGGTTTCATCCTGTTTTTCCAAAAGTACAGCACTTCCCTAGGATGCAAGAAGCTCTTAGATGATCAGTCAGAGAAACACACAAATTCAGAGACAAATAAAACAGAATAATTCATGGCCATAATGCAAGTACTTAAACATTCATTTTAAAGGATATTAGTCTTACTGTTTCCCTCTAAAAAAAGTCAATCAAACAAAAATTTGAAGGACAAACTTGCTTTCTATTATCTGTTCTTATACTCATGCAATTGTTCTAGAAAGGAAAGTTCTGACTGAATCAGGCACGATGGCTTTATATAGGATGAATGGGTTGACTAATGGGTTCAATGTAAAAAAAATCCCGTATGTACAAATTACTTGAATTTTAGTTCTTCTTACCCATTGCAAAACTTTGTTGGAATGTATTAGCATTATACCTTCAGCTCTAACTTTAACACAGGTAGTTTTTGTTTTGTTTTGTCTTGTTTTAAATATGTATGGGAGGGTGAGTGAGTGAGTGAATGAGAAAAAGAAAGAAAAAAATATGTATGAAAGCCAAATGACAGCTCAAGTCTTGTACCCAGTGCCTCTCACTCTGTCCATCCTTAAAATCCTGGGTGTGAACTGTGGGGTGGGGGTGGGGGGAGTGGGGGGGGTGTTTCCTCCTCCACCACTTCCCCCTGGCCTGAGTCAGCATAAGGTCAGCTTCAAGTTCTCTGTGCACCTTCAACCTCATACGTGTTTTCCCGCACACTAGAAGAAGTAAACTCTCAAGATACCGTGGAAGCAGAATTCCACAGTAAAGGGATCAATGAAAGAGTCCACACACTTGCAACTGGCTAAAGCCACTCTGCCCACTTCGAATCCTACAGGTTAAGGAGACTTAGTTGAAGACCTTGGTAAAGTTTCCCTGTTTGGACCCAGTGGTGTAAATTTGTCCTGAGGTGCCTTTTATCACCGATCTGTAAGAACATGTGGAACCAGAGTTGGGGAGGTGAGGCTGTAGTCAGAGCCAGAGCTAATCAAACAATTCCACTGGCGCTTCCATGAGCCAAACTGTTTTTGCAAGATTCTTCCATGAGAGGCAAAAGAAGGTTATGATGGCCCGAGAATTAGGGCAACTGCTCCGGGGACATTGCACAAGAGTCCCTTCACTTTTTTTGTGTGTTACCATAACTGCAGGTGAGGACATTAACCCCTGTCACCTCAGTCTGGAGTATGACTTGTCTATCAACCACCTTGCCTGTCCTCACAGGTAGATTCCAGCTTTTATTAACCTGATTTTTCTCTAAGAATCAGTGCCCCAAAGAGCTGGGTTGCTGCAGGCTTGCCCGACCTGCTCGGGAATCCCTCAACAGACTGTGACAGCGATGACAACCATCTAGAGGGGCTCCTAGCAACTGACATGTACAAAGTAATACTTTCTTAAGTCCCTGGAAGGAAGGCACCTGGACAGGTGTTTCATTTGCAAATGACATGAAAATGATCGGTTCCAACACCGGATGCATCAGGCTGTACCTCAGGCCTCCTCTCCTAACAGACTCTCCGGCAGCTACTCCAGGCCAGGAAGAATATGTGTCACCAAGGTTGGTCAGGGGGAAAAAAGAACCAGAAGATACAGACACATGTCTGAACCAGCAGAGCAGGACATAGGATCGGGATACTAGTTGCAAGACAGGAACATGAGCACGGGAGAGCTGGTCCCTGGGCCACTAGAAATGCTCAAATACTTTGCTTCCATACAGATGCCTCTGAGCTCAGAGATCAATTTTCCCTGATGAGGGACAGGGCCATGCCTGAGGATAGAATTCAGCATTCACGTTCAAGGCTAAAACAGGGCAAACTCTAACACGCCAGGAGAACTGCAGAGCATTTGGAGAGTTTTGCATAATGCTTTCTCTGTTCCACTAGTGACAAGTAACACACCTTCTCAAGCTGGCCAAGGTTAGGCACCCATGGCGATTGTTCTTGTGAAAACTATAGACCCGTACAGAAATAACCCCATGACCTTCACAATTTCAGGCAGCTGAGCTACTGACTTTCTGGCTGTGCCTTTTACAGAAAGCAAATCGTTTTTGTATTGGGGCCAAGACATTTTCCCCTCCATTCTCTCCTCTCTCCTTTTTGTTTTTGTTTTTTTTTTTTTCTGCTAAGAAAAGACAGAAAAATGAGACGCATATACAGCCCACAAGGAACACTGAAGACTGCCGAAGTGCATTAGGCAAGCATTCACAACCAGGCTAGAATTTTTTTTAAGACTCAGCCATCTCCCTCCCTTCAACAATTCTTTATTCCCTCCCAAAAGGTCTGACTGATAGAGTATGGACAGAGTGGACACCTTTCCCCTTTGTACTCAGACCCTGGGGCCCTTATTCAACAGCCTTTAAAGTTACTCGTGCCCTGTGAGCCTGCCCCCTTCATCCAAAGCATCTCTGAGATAAACATTTGAGAATGAGGCTGCGTGTTCTAGGAAAGAGACAAGTTAAAATGACACAGCCCCTGCCATCTAAAAACACACCATTGGCCTAAGAATGCGTGCACCTAGCTGTGCCACTGGGGCGAGTCACTCGACTGCTCTGGGCCTGAGGTTTCTCCTCTGAGGTCCCTGATAACTCTGACATTCTATGTTGCTAACAATGCCTGGTGGCGCTTCTCTTCCCACTAACTTTTCCCTAAATATGCCAATTTTACTTCTGCGGTAAATCCTCCAGCTGTCTTCACTTTAGCTTTGGCTCCTGGACAACTCGCCGAATGAACAATTTCCTCTTCTCCTCTTCCTCCAGCCCTGAGCCCTAACTTTCTCCTCTGCGGGACCGTGGGTCTCCCGGGGAGGCCGGGCCACGGAGCCCAGAGGCTCCGACACCTTCCAACGACACCTTCCAACAACTCCAACCACTCTCGGGGAGTTCCCAAGTCCAGTCTTTCCTTCGTTGACGCCTCTTCTTAAGAAAACAATAGCACCACGGGCCCCCAGTCTTCTATTACGTTGTTCTAGGTCTCCACTTGTCTTCTCCAGCTACTGTCCCTTCCACACCACTTTCTCTCAAAGGGCTGCATGAACAGGGCGCCCGGGGCAAGCCAGTGCGTCAGGGCTGGAGGATCCCATAAGTCACTCCTCGACCCTGTCCCCTCAGTCCCCGCCATCCCGCCCCCAACCTCCCTGCGAGAGCCCGGTCGCCCTCGCGGTGCACCCACCTTCCGGGCCACGGAGGAGCCCCCGCCCCAGCTCGCTCGCTGCATCAGAGCCACCGCCTACGTGAGCGTCGGGGTGTCCGGGAGGCAAGGTCTGGGCTCGGTTCCCGGAGATGTGACCGGCAGGGGGAGGGAGACGAGGAAGAGGAGGAGCCCAAGATATCGCACCGGGGCGGGGCGCCCGGGCGGGCCCCCGGCCACAGCGCGCTTCACGAGCACCCCCGCGCGGCCGCCTCGCCCCCCAGCCCGGGACGGCTCTGCCAGGGGCCTGGGGGTCCCCTTATGTCCCGTCGCTTTTGGCGACCGGAGAGACTACCAAGTGCGTTTCCTTGCGTTTTACCGGGAAACTGAGGCTCGTTGCTGCAGACCCCATCGCCCAACTCCAGAGACATTCTCCAGAAGTGCCAGCTCCCAGGCTGGACACTTGTGCCACCTCTGAGCCCAGGACAAGCGGGGGCAAGGGTAGAGTATCAACAGTCTCAGCCCTAGCCCGGGGCCACCTCTCGCGGCCGGGCCCCGCAGCCCGGTGGCACACGTGGGTCGGGCCCGGCTCATCCCAGCTGTGGTCCCGGGTCGTCCTCTCCACGTGGAAGCAATAGCGTACTTGGGCCGGGCTAGAGGACTCCACCCCCGGCGTGTCACTGCGAGTCGGACGGCGAAAGTGTAGGTGTCCCTGGCGCTGCACCTCCCACGCGAGGCTCGAGGGGGTACGTACCGGGTGCAGCTCCTGAGTTCCGCGGCAGCATCCGCGCAGGGGGACAGGGCAGCGTCCGCGACGGCAGCAGTGGGGCTGGGCTCAGGTCGCGACCCCCGCGGGCGGCCGCCTCCGTGCGTGGGCGACAGCGGCCCGCTCTCCTCCTCGCTCCGGCCTGTCACCAGGACTAGCGCTGCCTGCGGCCGCGCTGCCCCCTTTAACTTTCCGGCCACCTCTCCGGCCGCGGGGTCCCATCCCAGACCCCCCTTCACGTGAACTCGCCCCCCGGCCAATGGGCGCGCCCGGGACGCGAGCCGCTGACCAATGGGCGCGCAGCCCGGCCCCGAGCGCACCGCTCCGCCACGTGATCGGCAGGGCGCCCGGAGTGACAGGCGGGAGGCCAGGGTCTGGGAAGGGGGCGGTGGGTCACCGTTTCATCAGGAGCCCGAGGCCAGGCGCCAGGGGGCAGAGGCAGTTCCCTACAGAAGAGCGTCCCCTTGCAGGGAGAGGGCTTTTTATAAAGTCGGTATTGGAGCAGAGGACCAATACCCATGGCACTCACTGAGTGCCCCAGATAACTTGAGAGTTGCTCAGGTAGGTATGTTTGAGAGATTAACTGATTTGAATCCGTTATAATAATTGCTGAAATCTACAGGGCCTCTGTGACAACTCTGGTGCACCTTGAGGTCTATAGGGAATGATGACCTTAAAAAAACCCAAACCAAAAAAAAAAAAAAGAAGAAGAAGAAGAAGAAGAAAATGACTTTAGTAGAGTTTGGATCAGAGGCTCCTCCTCCCAGGAGATCAATCTGTATGTAAATTGATCAGAGCCAGCCACCTTAGGGATAAGGCTCCCAGTTTTCTAGTTTTAATGACCAGTAAACTTTTAGAAAGAATATTGAAAACAGATATAGGATTGCCAACTTTTTAAAGTGCCAAGTAAAGACATTGAATTTAAAGAAACCCTACCATCTTCTATTACCATCCTTTTATTTATTTATTTATGTGTTTGTTTGTTTGTTTTTAACTACTCTTTAACAGCAGTAACAACAAAATGCAGGATGGGCATAACCTCAGAGAAAGGCCAGTCTGTCACATTGGATGTATTTGTCTTTATGAGAATTCATCATGTTGAATATGGCATTTGGGAATTTCTGCTCTAAGGGACGTAAGATCGGCTTCCAGTTGTACTAGGAATGCAAGACTTAACACTAATTGGTCACAGAATCCCATGTAAGCCTTCAGCTCTAGAGAGCTTCCCCAGCACAGTCTTCCCCTCTGAAGGATGAAGGCTGTTCATTAGTCCTCTTCCTTCTTCTGCTAGATGGGCAGATCTGATAAAGGACCACCTGGGAAATCATACGGTGGTAGGCGGTTGGCAAATAGCAATTCTATGCAATATTCCCTGTGCCAACTTTATACCCCCTTTCGTTAGCCCAATGAGTAGGTTGGAAATTTTTAAGCCAGGTGCTGGCTCAGTTTTTCTCGAGCGTGATGAGCGTGCTCAAAGACCAAGAGCCAATAGATATTGCAAAATGTATGCAAGCAAACGGTGATCTGAACCACACTGGGAAGGAGTTGGGACAGTAAATACAACTTTAGGGCATTCAGGTTTGGAAGCGTTTTTCCTACATAGATCTAGGAAACCACGGGCAGTAATTTCCCCTGTGGTTTAGGTGACTATTTCAGACCAGGAGAGTGGGGCTAAACTTAGCTGTGGCATACCACAGCCTTGGTAGGTAAGAGTGTGGCATCTGTGAGTTTGAAAAGAGCACAGTCTTCTTTGCAATCAGAATTGAGCTGGGGTGCAAGCTTGCGGGGGGTAGGGGGGGACTGTCCCAGCAGGGGACACAACAGTCCAGAGCCCCAGAAGCTGAGAGCTGGACCCATGATCAGATATCATCTTCCTTCACCTTCTCATTTTATGGCAAAAAAGGACGAAAGTGAAAATGAAAAATTTCAACCCTTTACTCAATGCACACCACGTTCCTTTTATAATATCTGGCATTGGATTTTAGCCTTAATTTTATTTAATACCCTCCCCTATAAACCGGAAAACAGTAGTAGCTAAGCAGAGCTAATTATTTTTCTTCCATAAACTGTCCTTTTCTTATGGCTATCAGTGATAACACTGTCTTCTTCCCTGCACTTAGGCTCATCTGTGGCTCCTTCAGTGCTCTCTTATTCATTCATTCATTCATTCAATACATTGAGTAACCACCATAAGCCTGAATGTTGGAAATGGAAAAATGAGTGAAATATAATCTTACCCCAGGAAGCTCATAGGCTAATAAATAATGATTTGGGATAAATGTATGGAAGGTAAGTCTCTGTGTTGCGGGAGTTAAGAGGATGATTCTGTGTGTTTAGCATCAGGAGTGGCTGTGGAATGGGGGAGGTCAGAGGACGCTCCCAGAGTGACCATTGAGCAGGGTACTGGAGGGAGGAGTCAGAGTCGAGGGGGGATGGGAGGGAACATGGCAGAAATTGGCAAAGACTACGGAGTTCTATAGATTCCCCGAAGAATTGCCACTCTACTGATTAAAACTTAGGTCCCTTTCTGGCTTAAATATCAGACAATGTTCCTTTATATTTGTGTTAACATTAGCTTTCTGCTCATCCAGAAAGTCTTTTCAAATACTGCAAATATTTTATCTCTTTCTCAACTTAGTGCAAAACAGCTCAAACCTAGGTCGTCCTATTCTCATGCAACATTCTGGAAGAGAAATTGTTATTTTTTTTTTTTTTTGAGTTTTAATGTTGCTTCTCTTAGAATGAAAATTATTGCAGAATTAATCTAAATAAAAATAACCAGCATCAGAAGTCAGACTAAAGAAGAGAACATTCTTCTGCTTGATCAGAATAGAAAGTGGGAAAGACTGTTTCCAAACTGCCTAAGTCAATTTATATTTAGACGAGTGGAGTTGTTTGCACCTGTCAGAGCCGCAGACATGTTCTGGCGCATTATGTTACCTGGGGCCCGGCTGCCCCTCTTTCGGATTCGAATGACATTGACTTGCGAGGTCATGTTTTATGGGGACAGGCAGATGAATATGTACAAAGGAACTCTATAAGTCTCTGTGTATGGAGAATGCGTCCTTAGCATATGAGACGATCTTGAGTAGTTTACACGCCAAATCTTCTAGAGCCCATGGGCCTTTTTTTTTTTTTTTTTTCTCACTGTTTAGGCTTTTGAGTTCCTGGGTGAGGTTGGTAGAGAGATGACTCTTTTAAAAAGCTAAGCGACTACAGAGCTGCTTTCATTCCACACCTTTATACTTTGTGCAGGGCTTTGTATGAGCCTTATATCATTTCTTTAATTTGTATTTTTATTATTTTTTATGATTACAGTTGACCCTTGAACAACTAGGGGTCTGGGGTGCCAATCCTCTGTACAGTGAAAAAAAATCCCTGTGTAACTTTTGACTCTCCCCAGACTTACCTACTAATAGCCTACTGTTGACTGAAAGCCTTACTGAAAACATGAACAGTTGATTAACACATATTTTGTAGGTTGTATGTATTATATACTATTTTCTCCCAATAGAGTAAGCTAGCGAAAAGAAAATGTGATTAAGAAAATCATAAGGAATGAGAATATATTTGCTATTCATTAAGAGGAAGTGGATCACCCTGAAGGTCTTCATGGTCATTGTCTTCACTTTGAGTAGGCTGAGGAGGAGGAAGGAGGGAAGGGGTTGGTCTTATGTCGGGAGTGGGGGGGCAGAGGTGGAAGAAAATTCGAGTATAAGTGGAGCTGGGCAGTCCAAGCCCATGTTGTTCAAGGGCCAGCTGTATAAAACTAACACAAGGTCATTATAGACATTGTGGAAAATACAGAAAAATACAAAGTTGAAAATAGAATCCCCAACACCCAGTAGTAACTACCAATATAATTCACTGTATTTTTTTTCAGTATTTATTTTGTGCATAAACCTTATATTATCAGGATCATAGTATATATATATATAGGTTAATATCTTAATTTTTATTCATGACTGTTTCTCATTTTAAGCATATTAGTATTATAGTTTTTCTGACACGCTTTTTTTTTTTTTTTGTGAGACAGAGTCTCACTCTGTCACCTGGGCTGGAGTGCCGTGGTGTCATCACAGCTCACAGCAACGTCAAACTCCTGGGCCAGAGTGATCCTCCTGCCTCAGCCTCCCAAGTAGCTGGAACTATAGGCGCATACCACCAGGCCCAGCTAATTTTTCTATATTTTGTAGAGAGACAGGGTCTCGCTCTTACTCAGTCTGGTCTTGAACTCCTGGCCTCAAATGATTCTCCCACCTCGGCCTCCCAGAGGCCGGATTACAGGCGTGAGCCATTGTGCCCGGCCCCAAATTGTTTTTAGAAAAGTTGGTATTGATTTTTCATTTCTGCTACTGGGGAAAATTAAGT